AGGGACACAGAATTGTTACAGGGACACAGAATTGTTACTCAGGGACACAGAATTGTTACTGAGGGACACACACAGAATTGTTACTGAGGGACACAGAATTGTTACTGAGGGACACAGAATTGTTACTGAGGGACACAGAATTGTTACTCAGGGACACAGAATTGTTACTGGGGACACAGAATTGTTACTGAGGGACACAGACACAGAATTGTTACTCAGGGACAGACACAGAATTGTTACTCAGGGACACAGAATTGTTACTGAGGGACACAGAATTGTTACTGAGGGACACAGAATTGTTACTCAGGGACACAGAATTGTTACTCAGGGACACAGAATTGTTACTGAGGGACACAGAATTGTTACTGAGGGACTCAGGACACACAGAATTGTTACTCAGGGACAGACACAGAATTGTTACTGAGGGACACAGAATTGTTACTGAGGGACACAGAATTGTTACTGAGGGACACAGAACAGTTTGTTACTCAGGGACACAGAATTGTTACTGAGGGACACAGAATTGTTACTCAGGGACAGACACAGAATTGTTACTCAGGGACACACAGAATTGTTACTGAGGGACACAGAATTGTTACTCAGGGACACAGAATTGTTACTCAGGGACACACAGAATTGTTACTGGGAGGACACAGAATTGTTACTGAGGGACACAGAATTGTTACTCAGGGACACAGAATTGTTACTGAGGGACACAGAATTGTTACTCAGGGACAGACACAGAATTGTTACTCAGGGACACAGAAATTGTTACTCAGGGACAGACAGAATTGTTACTGAGGGACACAGAATTGTTACTGAGGGACACAGAATTGTTACTGAGGGACACAGAATTGTTACTCAGGGACACAGAATTGTTACTCAGGGGACACAGAATTGTTACTCAGGGACACAGAATTGTTACTCAGGGACACAGAATTGTTACTCAGGGACACAGAATCGTTGAATTAAAGAGTATGTCAGACAACATGCAGAGGAGTGGCAGAGGAGGCAATGTTTTTAGGAGCGAGCAGACGTGGCAGCAGAGGAAGGGGTCGAGGCAGCACTAGTCGCAGCCAGAGGCCAGTGCTCCCGGTGTCATCCAGCGGGTGTGTCTCCACCGACAACCCTGCCGTCATCGATTGGTTGGCTCGGTCGTCTTCCTCTTCCCAGGTCACCTCTGACACCTACAGCCAACGGTCGGTGGGTACGTCAGACACAACCGTTAGTTGGCATGGCCCGGAGCAAGCCCACTGAAATCACGTGTCCTCTACCTGCCCCTGTCCTTTGGTGTTCCCTCACCAAGCGAAGTATCGCATGCTGTGGGCTCAGCCCCACTGTACAGTGAGGAAGAGCTAACAGAGGGCGGTCAGGAACGGGGGGAGACATCCGCCTCTTCAGCAGCCAGGCGAAAGAAGTAGTGGCGAGGAGAGTGGCTCGGTAGCCGGTCTAGAGACAGGTCTGTCTCCTGACCCACACGCAGCCGAGGGGGCTAGTAGTGAGGCGGAGACCCTAATTGATGATGATGAGGCTGATCGCACTTGGCAGCCTCGTCGTCATCAGGCTATTGCTTCCGCATCATCAGGAGAAGAGGGTGGCAGCTTGGCAGCGAGCAAAACAGTCGGTGGGTTGCCCAGGAGGCAGCAGGGTCGCAGCAGTGTCAGTGGAGGCAAACGGCCACGGAGTAGAGCACCAGCTCCACTGCAGCCTACCACCACGGCCAGTAGTGGTGCCGGTGTGCACGGAGGAAGTAGCAGTCAGCCAGTGAGGAGTATCGGGGGCAAAGTTTCCTACTCGGCGGTGTTTTTTTCGTTGTTGTGGCAATTTTTCGTCAAGCCGCCCGAGGAAGTAAACGTAGCCGTATGTCGACTATGTGGCCAGAAAGTCAAGCGTGGCCAGGGGGGCCCATGTTGGGACTACAGCGTTGCGTCAGCATATGCAGCGTCGCCATTTGGTGGCCTGGGAAAACCGTGATAAAGATACGGCGGTTCTGCCTGCCCCAGCCCCCGCTCCATCACCCGCTCCGTTACTTGCTCCGTCACCCGACGTCAATCGCCCTCTATCAGCCAGTCAAGGCTCCAACACCTCTGCTGAGGGGAGTTGTCGCTCGTTGGCATCTTCCGCTCGTTCAGATGCTCCTTCTCCTGCTACTCCTCTTCACGGATTCCGTCAGCAGTCTTTCTTGGAATCCGTTTCCAAGAGACAACAGTTTGCGAGCACGCACCCGACGGTGCAAAAGCTGAACGTCCTCCTGTCCAAGTTGCTGGTGCTGCAGTCCCTCCCTTTCCAAGTGGTGGACTCAGCACCTTTCCGAGAAATGATGGCTTGTGCCGCGCCGCGGTGGAGAGTGCCAAGCCGTCATTTCTTCGCCAAAAAGGCAGTGCCAGCCCTGCATTCACATGTAGAAGAGATGGTGGGCCAGTCTTTGAGCATGTCGGTCTCTGCCAAAGTGCACGGCAGCGCCGACCGACGTGTGGAGCTGTAACTACGGTCAGGGACAGTACATGTCATTTACGGCCCACTGGGTGAACGTGGTGCCGGCACAGCCGCACCAGCAACTTGGACAGGTCACGCCGCTTTTGCCTCTCCACGTTTGCACGTCCTTGGTCCACAAAAGATGTCCGCCTCTACCACCTCTTCTTCCGCCGTGTCCTCAGCCGCCACCCCCGTGCCAAGTCCCATTACCCGACCGGCATATCACATGTGCAGGGCGCAACGGTGTCACGCTGTGCTGCACCTGGTATGCCTTGGCGAACGTAGTCACACAGGGGAGGAACTTCTGAGTGTAATGAACAGAGAAATCGACAGATGGCTGTCTCCGCGCAAACTGAAAATCGGAACCATGTTGACCGACAACGGAAAGAACATGGTGTCTGCTCTGCGTCAAGGAAGGTTGTGCCATGCGCCATGCATGGCTCACGTGTTCAATCTGGTTGTCAAGCGGTTCCTAAAATCCACATCCCACTGCAAGACATCCTTAAAATGTCACGTAAACTTTGCATGCATTTCAGCCATTCCTACACCGCAAAGCACACCCTCCTTGAGCTGCAGCGGCAGAACGGAATTCCACAGCATCGCCTGATCTGCGCGACGTTGCAACAAGGTGGAATTCAACCCTACACATGTTAGACCGCCTTTACGAACAGCGAAAGGCCATCACCGATTTCCTGATGTTACAAGCGGATAAAGGTACTCCCCTGTGTAACTTCGATGTCAGCCATTGGCAGCTCATGCGTGACACACCTGCCGCTTGCTCAGGCCCTTTGAGGAGGCCACGCTATTCGTGAGTCGGCAGGACTATGGGATGAACGACGTCATTCCTCTGTTGCACGTCCTGGAACAAATGCTGTTAACAATGGCTGGTCAGGGTGCGGTAGACGTGGCGCACAGATCTCAACGCCACATGACCCCTGTGGGGGCAGGACAGGAAGAAGAGGAGGAGGTAGAGGAGGACATTTGTGCTCAGGAATTATGAGTGAAATGGGTGGTTTTTCCACTCAGCGGACAGGAGTGGAGGAGCAGGAGCATCTGGTAGAGGAGGAGGAGGAGGACAGAGGACCCAGACGCACCGTGTGGCAGTATGCTGTGGAGATGGAGGCAGGGAGTCCCTCGCATTCCTTGGCACAAATGGCCCATAGCATGCTCGGTTGCTTGCGTAGCGACAGCCGAATAATAACCATCAGACAGAGGGATGACTTTTGGCTGTCCACCTTGTTGGACCCTCGCTACCGTTCAAAAATGGTGGCCTTTTTCACACCTGCTGAGAGGGAGGCCAAAATAACGTACTATAAAAACCACCTATGTAGTCAGTTGGTCTCTGCCTTTCTGCGCCAACGTCCATCCTCAGACACTGTGGGCCCTGTGCGCTCGCGTTCCGCTGCCATGGCAGCAGGGGAGGGGTGGGGTGGTAGGAGCAGTGGCAGCTCCACCAGCAGCGGCTGCCTCAGTCTGCAGTCGATGATGAGTAGCTTTCTTCACCTGCGCAGTGAGGAAACTACTAACCAGCCGCAGCAGCAGCAGCATCAGGTGGACCTGGAGCAGGACCTCAAACAACAGGCTTGGGCCTACTTGGGACAGCACCCTGCCAACCGAGGTAGACAATCCCCTTGACTACTGGGCAACGAAACTTGACCTTTGGCCCCAACTAGCTGAATTTGCCCTTGAAAGGCTGTCATGCCCGGCCAGTAGCGTGGCATCGGAGCGCGTGTTTTTAGTGCGGCAGGAGGTATTTGTAAACTCCGCGGAGGACACGACTGTCCACCCAAAGTGTGGAGAGACTCACGTTTGTGAAAATGAATCAGGCGTGGATTAGTCTGGATTTCAAACCACCAGTTCCTGACACAACTGACTAAATCCGCCATGAATGCCCCATAAACATGCCTTGTCAGGTCTCCTCACACTGCTTGTGTGTTCCATTTTTTTTGTCATAGGATGCTGTGATTACGGGCCTCCCACTAGCTGCTGCCAGGCCCCTAATCTGCCATGGCCCCCGTTACCGCCTCCTCATGCTGCTGCCTCCACAGTGGGGTGCTCATGGGTCCCTTACGGCCTCCCATTGCTGTGCTCCATCGCCACACTCTCATGTGCCACTTTCAGGTGCCTCACACTGCAGTGTGTTTCCATTATTTTGTCATAGGGTGCTGGCAGATTACGGGCCTCCCATTGCTGCTGCCAGGCCCCTAATCTGCCATGGGCCCCCGTACCGCCTACCTCATGCTGCAGCCAGGTCCACTGCCTCCCTGGGCCTCCCACAGCTGTGTCTCCATGGCACACTCTGCCATGTGCCACTTTCAGGTCTCCTCACACTGCTGGTGTGTTCCATTTTTTTGTCATAGGGTGCTGGCAGATTACGGGCCCTCCCATTGCTGCGCCAGGACCGTAATCTGCCATGGGCCCCTGTACCGCCTCCTCATGCTGCTGCCAGGTCCAGAGTCTGTCTCATGGGTCCCCAGTGTACACACGCCTCCCATTGCTGCTGTCTCCATTCGCCACACTCTGCCATGTGCCACTTTCAGGTCTCCTCACACTGCTGGTGTGTTTCCATTTTTTGTCATAGGGTGCTGGCAGATTACGGGCCTCCCATTGCTGCTGCCAGGCCCGTAATCTGCCATGGGCCCCCTGTATCGCCTCCTCATGCTGCTGCCAGTCCAGCAGTCTCTCATGGGTCCCTGTACGGCCTCCCATTGCTGCTGCCTCCATCGCCACACTTCTGCCATGTGCCACTTTCAGGTCTCCTCACACTGCTGGTGTGTTCCATTTTGTCAAAAGGGTGCTGGCAGATTACGGGCCTCCCACTAGGCTGCTGCCAGGCCCGTAATCTGCCATGGGGCCCCTACTACCGCCTCCTCATGCTGCTGCCAGGTCCAGAGTCTCTCATGGGTCCCTGTACGGCCTCCCATTGCTGCTGCCAGTCTCCTTCCATCGCCACACTCCTGCAAGCATGTCCATGTGCCACTTTCAGGTCTCCTCACACTGCTGGTGTGTTCCCTTTTTGTTTTGTCATAGGGTGCAGGCATGATTACTGGTCCAGCCCATAGTTAGCTGCTGGTCTCCCTAAACTGCCATGGCCTACGTAATCGACTTCCTTCTGCTGCTGCCAGGCACGTAATCTGTCATGGGCTCCCTGTAACCCCCGCCTCCTCAATGCTGCTGCACCATTTGGTCCATAGAGTGTGTCCCATTGGGTCCCCTATTACTGGCCGTCCCATTGACTGCTGCACTGTCCTGGTTCCATCTTCGCCACACTCTGCCCAATGTGCCACTTTCCAGGTCGTCCTCAATGCACTGCTGACCAGGTTCGCATTTATGCTCATGCGTGGTGCTGTACCGGCCTCCAATGCTGGCTGATGTCTCCATCGCCTTACACTCGCTTGTGCACACTTTCAGTGTCTCCTCACACTCGCTGGGGTGTTCCATTTTTGTCATAGGGTGATGCAGATTACGGTGCCGCCCATTGTGCTTGCCTGGCCTGTAATCTGCCATGGGCCCTGTACCGCTCTCATCCTCATGCCTGTTGCCAGGTTTCCAGATGTCATGTCTCTAGGGGTACCGGTACTATGCCTCCCAGGGCGGCTGTCTCCATCGCGCACCACTATCTGCCATGTGCACATGGTCAGGTTCCTCACCTGTGGTGTGTTCCATTTTTTGTCTTGGGTGCTGGAGATTACGGGCCCCCCTAGTGCTGCCAGGCCCCTAATCTGCCAGGGGCCCCCTGTACCGCCTCCTCCTCCCTATTGCTGCTCCCAGGAGGCAGCAGGGTCGAGCGTGTAGTGGGGGGGCAAAGGGGGGGCCACGGGTTAGAGACCAGCTCCATGAGCCTACCACCGGCCAGTATTGGTCCCGGTGTGCACGGAGGAAGTGCTCAGCCGTAGGATTTTAGCGGGGGCAAAGTTTCCCATCGGCGGGGTGGGCAATTTTTCGTCAAGCCGCCCCAGGAAGTAAAAAGTAGCCGTATTCGCTATGTGGCCAGAAAGTCAAGCTGGAGGGGGGGGCCCTGTTGGGTACAGCGTTTGCGGCAGATATGCAGCGTCGCCATTCGGTGGCCCGGGAAAACCGGTAAGATACGGCGGTTTGCCTGCCCCCAGCCCCGGGTTCCTTTTGTCATAGGGTGCTGGGAATTACGGGCCTCCCCTTGCTTTTTGCCAGGCCTTAAACTGCCATGGGCCCTTTTTCCGCCCCCTCATGCTCTGCCAGGTCCACAGGTTCATGGGTCCCTGTACCCCCCTCCCTTTTTGGCTGTCTCCCTCGACACACTCTGCCATGTGCCACTTTCAGGTTCCTCACATGCTGGTGGGTTTCATTTTGTCTAGGGTGTGTATGGCCTCCCTTGCGCTGCCAGGCCCGAAATTGCATGGGCCCCTGTACCCCTCTATGCTGCTGCCAGGTCCGGTGTGTCAGGGTCCCTGTACCGCTCCCATTGGGTGCTGTCTCTTCGCCACACTCTGCCTGTGCCCTTTCAGGGTCTCCTCACATGCGGTGGGTTCCATTTTGTCTAGGGGGTGTATGGCCTCCCCTTGCTGCTGCCCCCACCCACCCACTGTGGGCCCCCTTTGGTTTTGCCCCTGACTGCCCTTTGAGTGAAAGTGTGCGGTGATTTGATCACGGACCATTTCTGTATATGGACAGTATTTTTCTCTTCCCCGCGATCCAAAGGGGATTTTTAAATTTAAAAAGGGACGTGTTCTGCACTATTAAAAAGGGTTCTGAAGCTAGAAAAACCCTTTTTTAAGTTTAAAATTTGAGGAATATATTCGATCGAATCAAATTTTTTTCCCAATTCGCCCAAAACGTCGAATCGATTTTTGAATAATTCGTCACTTACTGACCATGTCCTCCCTTTTGCTACATATACCCATCCTCTGATGGCTTTCCAGAAAGATAATGAATAAATGTCACAAAGCTCGGGATCATCCCCCAAACCGGGTTTTTTCTTTAACATGACAATGATTTCCCCTTTGTTTTTCCAATAGCCTTCCAGTTACCAAAAATTCAATTCAAATAGAGCACCTTTGGGTTGGGGTTGGAATGGGGATTCCAATCAGGGTTGTGAAAGCCGACAAATCTGCGCATTGCTTGATGTTTTGTCGATATTGCCAAAATTTTTGAGGATTGTTTTCAACCCCTCTTTTGGTTTCTTTTCCCAACAAAGGAAAAAGGAGTTTAAAGGGCCCAAAAGGGGGTACAACGGTTTACTAGCAAGGTGTACCTAATAAAGAGGGCCGGGGGGGAGTGTATATGAAAAAGGTTTTGCAGTAGTAAAAATAGAGTAAAAATTATTTAGTTCTTGATGGGTTTCACCATCCCCAACCCGCGGGAAAACCAAGACAGAAAAAAAAAAGCAAGATCAAAAAAAAAAAAAAAATAAAAAACCCAAAACACCTTTTTGTGCATACAGAAAGTCCGGGAAAAAGTCCAATAACCAAGGGAAAAGAAAAGAAACTGCAAGACTTCTTTAATTTCTTTTGGGAAAAAAAACCAGTTTTTTTATATTTTTTTTTCTCCTAGGGAAGACTTTTTAAGCCCAAACCCTTTTTCTTTATCTTACTTTGGTCGTTGACTTTCTTTTTGGGTTTTTGTTTTAAAAACTGTACGTTTTTCCTTTATACGTATAAGGTACTTTACCTAGGGTTCCCAATGTCTGTACTTTGTACTCTTTTTAAAAATTTCTGAGTTTTTCTCCCCTTTAAATAAAAAATTTGCTCAAATGTTTTCAAGAATTAAGAAAATTTTTTCATTTTTAGCAGGTAGTTTTAATTTGGGCCCTTTTCATCCTTTTCAATTTTATATGCACTATTTTTTTCACAGGGGGATTTGCTTTTGAAAAAAGTTTGACATTTGAAATGATTTAAACTTTATATTTTGGGCCATTACACAAATTTTAATAAGTAAAATTCGTTCACATCATTTTCAAACCCATTTGAAAAGGGGGGTTTTGAAACCCATTAATTTCTATATTCCCGTTGTCTCCCAAACTGTGGGTTGGACAGTTGAAACCCCTTTGGTTTTACATTTTTTGGGCCCCTTGGAAAAAAGTATTTTTCCCAAATTGTTATTATGCTTTAAACTTCTAAAATGCCCAGGGCCCACTTTTTTCCTCCCCCCCCAGTAAACAC